CCTTTAGGGGAACTTCTAGACAAAAGGCCTGGTGTTCATCTAGTTGAAGGGGTTCAAGGACATACGGGAGATTATCTTCAGCAAGAGGCGGTCCTACGGATTCGGGTGAAGCCTCGACTGTTGTGAAATGTATCAGTTCACAACCTTGCTCATCAGTGATACCGGATTCCTCCTGGGCCATAAACAAGTGATCACTGGCAAGTCCATCCTCAGAATCGGGCACTGGAATATCTTGGGGCTGAAGAGAGGTCTCAGGAGGAGCAGTGTCAAGGGCAGAATCTGAAGGGGCAGCGGTTCCTGACAAAGGATCGCGCTCAACTCCAGATGCTTCCTGACTTACCTGTGGTGTTAACTCCTGTTCAGGTTGAGGAACTTCATCTAGGGGGCTGTTGGAAGCAGGCTCTACGGCAGTGGAAGCACCTGGCTGAGGCATGAGAACTGCAGTCTCGGACACAGGCGGAAGGCTGGCAGCACGTACAGACTCCGAAGGTTCTTGGCTTGGTGAACCAGTAAGATCGAGGAAGGTACTCGCCCCTCCAACATTCTTAGATGGCTCTTCCAACTGGCTGTCTGACAAATGCTGCCATTTGCGAAGAGACGCAGGTCTCAAGTTCTCGGGTGCCGCTCTTATGATGTTGGTTCCATGAGCTAGCCAAATCACTGACTTGCCTTCGCTGCAGATTACTTTTGCCGGTCCATGCCAGCGACCAGCCGCGAGCCTATTTGGGGACGATTTCTTAACCCAATACAGAACCCACATGCCTGCAGCGAACGGTCCCCGAGATGGATTACTTCTCCGAAGTGAGGCTCGACGAATGGCCTGGGAGTTATCGGCATCCATAAACGCGCGCCGGGCCCGACACCGTAACTCCAGCTTTTGACGAAACATTTCGGATTCAAGATCGGTGCCTTCGGACAAAGCGTGCGCCGGGGCTTCTTCATCGGAAGATACACTCCCAGGAACACCGGAGAGACTTCCCGAACACAATCTGCTCTGGAGAGAACCCTCCATGCCGGATCAAGGAATTTTTCGCTAAGACAGCCTGTTGAAGGACCTGATCAAATGCAGTGTCATTGACAATGGGACTCTCGATGTCCAAGCGAGCAAGCATGTCCTTCAGGATGTCTCCGTGCCTTTCTAAACGACCTCGCTGCCAGGCTGCGGCCGTCACCCAAGTCTGCGTGTTCATCTGTTGAAAGAATTCTAGGATTTGTTCCGATCGGAACTCGCCGGCGGGATCTAGATACACCTGCTTAGGAGGCCCTGCCCAGCTAATCCACATGTCATTTAGTACTTGTGCGGCTTGTTGTCCAAGACGACTTGGAGTTCGGCGGGCCTGTTGAAAGCAGCTGGCTTCATCGAGGACATGTAACATATAGGTCCTATAACCTGATTTACTCTTCAAGAAGAAACCATCTACCCCCATCATATCCTTTAAATCTCTGGGCTCGGGAAGCTTGCCTGGCCTTTGATGCCGTGGCTCGGTCGATTCCAAGCATACATCGCACTGAAAGTCCAACGCAGCGTCCACCAAAGCTGGTTGCTCCCCTGCTGCCTTTAAATGGCGGGACAAAGTCTCTGGCGCAGGATGACCAAGGTTATTATGGATTCTACGAAGGCGGGTCTTATCCTCTCGGGTCAGACTTCGGAAGGCAGGGCCATGAAGAGGCACCGGCGGAGGGCCCCAACCCTCCAGGTCGGGGGCCGTCGTGCGATTGGATTGCACAGAAGTGGACTCAGCATTGGAGGTTTCCGTACTGTCAGACGAAATCTTCTGAGCGAACACAGTCAGCATAAAACTTGTGGGTGCAATCCGCTGGCGACGACGCTCGCTCGGCATCGTGGTGCGATGGTCCGTGCCCAGACACTGGTACATCATGTTACCCTGGGAATCCAGGCGAGAACAGAAAGTGATGCGCCAAGGCGCCACGGGAGAGGGCAATGCACCAAGAGGATGATGCAGACTTTTACCGCCTAGGGCTGCAAAGACTTGAAGCACTTGATATTGAGGCAAAGCCTGACTGATGGCTGCTATCACGTTATGCTGCGGGGGAACAAGTATGGGTGTTACCTTGGTGGCACAGCTTTGGGCGGATTGAAAGATAGGTTCCCACACAGGCACAGGCAGATCGGTGATTTCGTGCACGGGCTGCTGCAACGGTACATCCAGACGGCGACGCACTTGGTCGCGCTGGGAACACTCCTGCGCATTATCATCTGCTGCACGTTTCTGGCTGGGAAGGGTATTCACTGCTTGGCCTACTCTCCCGAGGACGTCTTAAACCTTTTACGGGTCATGGGAAGTAAACCTTCTAGGGCTAGGGCTTGCTCCTTGGTATTCGGCAGCAGATGCTTGGCAGAGTGCTCAGCGAAGCCACGACAAAAGGTCCCAGCGTACTGGGAAACACTTGCTCCCTTCAACTCTCGCAGCTTACCCGCAACAGGCTGATGTTGCGAATGACCCGGACACTGTTGGCTTCTTAAGCTTTGTATAAAGGCTTCATTCGTGCTGACTACATGGGTAGCTTTGCGGATGGGTCGTTGACTCAAGGGAGTTTTCAAACCAAACGAGCAAAGATCTACATTCGCTCGGTAAGCATTTTGCAAGATTGGTTGAAGCGTGGCTTCCTTTAACATCTGAGAATTTGCGGGTTGTTCAAAATGAAAATCATGTCCTTGCTGCTTCTGCCACTCAAAGATCTTTACAAACAGTTGGAACAAGGTTTGCTGCGATTGTCGTCCCTGAAGAAGTTGGTGCTGAAAACGAGAGTTCCGGGCAGCGTTGAGACAACTCCACGCGCTCCACAACTTCGCATCAGGAGACAGCCAAACATGTTTCGGGCGAGTGCGCTGAAGCAAATCCCACAGCTCTCTCTGGCATTCTACAGAAATCAAATCGCTCGGGGAACCTGGAAACCGTTTAGCCTTTCCACCTGCATCTATCACTACTCGGGTCAGAAGGCTGTCCGAATGGGCACTAATTTCAAGAACATCAAGCTGAGGTTCGAGGCTCTGCTGGTATGTCAACAGCGAGTCTTGAAACACGTCCCATGTGGCGGTCTGGGCTCTGCAGAATGCATCAACACAGGCATGCGCGGCTTCCAATGACGCGGGCAGCAGATCTGATTCCTGAACACATGGCTGAGCTAACATTAGCTCCTGACGTAAGGTCGAAATCTTTGGTTGGGGAGAGGCACTCAGGACCTTAGACGATGCACTTAAGGTATCCACGCTGTCCTGGGTCTTTATCACCTCGGAGATGGGGAAACCCAAGTCCTCTAAGTGCTTACGGTCAGGAATCGTTAGCTTGCCAGCAGCCTGAAGAGAGAACGCAACCATCAGGGTGCGATCCCCTGTCCATGGCATCGACGCGTGCCACATGTGCGGGTCAAGCAGCATGGAACTTCTCAAGCCCTGTAGGGGCCCTTCTATCTTACTCCCATTGCATTCCCTGATGCATACCCTTTGTTGGCCTTCGGGTGGTTTTGCCACCCAGATTTCACCTCCGGCTTTCGGAAAGTCTAAGGGAACTACCAGGTTAGGAAGGACCTTAGAGTTGTAGCTGTCACGATGGGGCTCAACGGATGTGTTACAGGATATTGCAATTGTCGTAAAGGAATGTTCGGGCTGTGTCAGCTGGATGACCTGAGCTAACAGTTTGGTCAACCACGGAAAGCGTTGGGTGACCTGCGTTTTGCCAACCACCCCGCCGTGCACAAACATGCCAAACATGACATAGGCTCCTGGGCGAGTGTGATCTCCTTGGGATGATTCGGCGATGGTTCGAGGACTGGGGCGAGGCTCCTTAAGAAGGTACCAGGGAATCTTACGAAGCAGCCTTTTACACTCAGCTATATCACCCTTATTTTCAAGTAGCTCCTTAGCTGCAGGCTCAATCCCTTCTACTTCCATAGTACCAGGCTTACAGGTACCCGAGGAGATCAGAGCACTCAGCTCAGCACGGCAAGCCTCTACTTCTCGGATGAGGCGTCCGGAGGGCTCGTCACAGCACTCAGATGCTGGACGATCTGCTGCATCATGCTTTCCATGTGGCTCATGCGCTCGGTCAGGGTGTTCACTTCGACCTGAAGAACCGCACTGGATTCGCTGATCATGTCCCAGCGATCGTCCTCGGCAGCGGCTGCTGCTTTCGGACGAGGAGCAGCTCGACTCTTGGGTCCAGCTTTTGGTCCTCGGTCGTTCTTGGGGCTGTGACCGAACGGTGGCACAATCAACTCGGTCTCGATGGCCTCGGCTTGCTCCACGACGCGCTCCACATAGCGAAGGAACACCTTGTGGGCATGCTTGGTGCTTTCGGAGAGGTGGTCCAGGCACCACTTCGCCCAAGCAGGATCGGTCTCGAGGACTTCCTCGAAACGACGGCCTCGTACCTTCGTTCCAAAGGTGACGGTCAACTGACCGTGCTCCTGCAGACTCATTGCCTCCACCTCGGCCATCGTGTAGTTCAGTGTGGAGTCTGAAAGACGAGCGAAACGATTGGCGAGGCTCGAAGGTGCGGCGCAGGGAGGAGCGTCGGCCATGATCACAAGTGAGAGGCGAAGTCGCGATGACGGGAGTGGTTGCTTCAGCAGTCACGGCTGGAGTGTGAGGCGATACATTTTGAACGATCGGCTCGACTGGCGGCTGAAATATCCCCTTATCTTCGGAATCACACACTCCTGAAGACAAAACGTTAACATGCTCCGGGTATTTACGGTAGCTCTCATCTATTGAATTCGATCCCTGGCACACATGTGTGGGCTGTTGAGTTTCTGTACAGATCTCACTGGGTAGGGAACCTAACTTCATGCATGGGCTCACGGGAAGAGCTGACTCACTGGAATCTTCGCTTGCACACTGGATTGGCATCTCTGAGCAGCTTTCCTCGCAAAGTCGGGCGAGGTCCAACAGGTACAGACCTGTTGCTCCGGTCTGTAAGGACACTTGCTTTCGCAGGCGCTTAAAAGGCACACATCCCTTGTCGTATCCAGTACACCTCCAAGTTGCTTGATTGCCTTCTTACTGAACAATAAGGGAGTGCGGCCTGGTACGACTTCGACCCCAAGCCACAAAATCTGACAGCC